GGGCGCTATTTTCCCCTTGTTGATTGGTGATTTAGTGTCAGAAGATGATGAGCACTGGTCTAACATGCTTACTTTGTGTGAAATTGTTGATAACATATTTGGTCCAAAGTGCAGCAGCAAAAGTTTAGATCATTTAGACCATCTTATCCGGCTGTTTTTGACACAATTTAAGACTCTGTATCCAGATCAAAGCATAATTCCTAAGATGCATTATCTTATTCATTACCCCAGTTGTATGAGAAGGTTAGCTAGTGTTTTATAATCATTGCTATAATATTCATTATTGGCATAGGTTTGGCCCATTAAGCAGGCATTGGTGTATGTGTTTTGAGGCAAAGAATAATTATTTTAAGGAGATGGCTCATGTTATTGGCAACTACAAGAATATAGCTTAAACCCTATTTTTGAGACACCAACGTTTAAGTTGTTACTACTTACAAGGTTCACAAATTGACCTAGAATTCGGAAAAGGTATTTTATAAAAATTTTAAATAAAGATAAGTCTGTGATCATTTGTAATAGGTAGAAGCTTTTCAGTTGGTTGTTTGGAGGAAAAAAGATTAATTTTAGAAACTTTTACTGATTACAATGAAGAAACTGCAGTGATTATGTAAGTCTAGATTTTGATTGTATTACAGTAACTACATGTATATATTATACCATTTTAGTTATCCATGGGTGAAAGTTCGTAGTCAAGTCTACAAACCTGGTTATGTTCTAATTAAAGAAAATAAAGATGATGTTCCTCAGCTGTAAGTCGTCAAGTTAATTATTGTTTCTCAAGATAACACAATTTATTTTATTGTTGACAAGCTACACAATATTGAATATTGCTGGCATTAACATGCTTGTTATACTATAAATAAAGAGAGATCACACTTATTTGTAAGCTATCTGATTTTTGTGACCATCATGCATATAACTTTCATCAAAGTTTTAATTCATCATTGAATAACTATTACTTTATTGTACAAAAGTACTTAATATTTTGACTTTAAAGTAATTTTAAAGTACATTTATAATGAACACTCTTATTAGTGTGATATTGCAATGAAAGGTGGGAATTCAACACCAGTGGGATAAAACCACTGTGGTGGAAAATCAAATGGTGTATTTTACCCACTTCAATTGGGTGTATTTCCCACCGGCATTTTTGCAGTGTATATATTCTAAATTTTGTATTTAGTGGAGATAATATGTGAATTATACAAACATTTGTACACGCATATGTGACCATAATTGACAAAAGAGACCTTATGGCGGGTAGTGAAATTTGTCTTTCTAGCCTAAGAAATCCAACTTCCTGAGCCCCATTTATCATAAAATTACTCCACAGGATGCAAAAAGTTATCATGAAACTTTTAGAAACAATGATTGTCTAACAAAGCACTCACAGGTTGATATTTTCCATTATAACAATCAATTTTAAAATCCGCCATAAGGGCCCTTTTGTCAATTATGGTCACATATTGTAAAAAAGAAGGAATGGCTCAGGAATGAAATTAATCAAAATTGAAAAATGAAGGTACACACTATATAATACCAATAAAACATGATGATCTTAAAAAAGCAAAAATATAAATACATATCCATTAATGTATAAATGTGTGTATAATAAAAAATGATATAGGCTAATACGCTTACCAAAAATTAAATACGGGTTCAAAAGGTGTCTCCATGTGTATATACCAAGTTGTACAGCACCTGTGAAAACAAAATAATTATGCTACACTACTGATAAACAACTTACATTATGTTTAAATATGAAGAAGGTTCTAATTTAAAGTAGTGGGCTGGGTTTAGCCCTGAAAAATTGGACAATAAATATGGTAGGAAGAGCTCCCTGGTCATCCTCATCCTGGTTACTCTTTATCATGTCTTTTGTTGGCTCACCTTTCCTGCTAATGATCTAATTATTAT